TCATTTAGTTTTGTTGATTTTCCTTTACTGTTTGGAAAATGTTAGAACGTCTATTGACAAATAAAATAAATGCGATATTGTAGAGCGTAATATACTTATGTGATAATCTGTTAATGTACATTTCGTGTATAATAGAAGACAATCACTTGACGCCCATAAAATACTTCTCAAATGAACGATTGAGGATATGTATTGTAGACATATATAAGTGCTACATTTTTAAATTTATACATTAAATATTTCCAGTAAATTGATATCCTTCTTAATACCAGTTTATAAACAGTTCCACCTATAAATATTTCATAGTTTATGTACATTAATCTATATTAAAAGAAGAACTGAGCTTGGTTACCATTTTAGTATGAGAATTCCGATTATTTCTTCACAAGAATATAATACATAGAATGACAGGATTTTATCAAAACTTGCTTCAAATGCCAAGACCTAATCTTAAATAGCCCTATGTACATAAAAGTTATTTGTAAAAATAACTTATTAACGTTCAAAAAGAAGGTTTATTTATTTTACGTAATTTAATTCTCTTTAAAAATAGTACATGACATCAGAACCTATCAACAACCTTCCAATAGTGCACTATTTGATATAATCCCTATTAATTTACTTCTATCCGTTACATACACGCTGCATCTTAAATATGCATTACTATATATATTGTGTCTTATATAGAGCAGCAGCAGGAGCAGCAGGAGCAGGTCTCTTAATTGGGTGAATCGGGTATAGTTTAATCCCAAGAATATTATAAAAGTTTCCGAGATTACTAGTAAAAATAACCGGAAAAAAATTGAAGATAGAGCTAAACTAGCCTCTAACAAACTAGAGATACTGTGTATAGGGTGGCAGTGCCTCATGTTGGAACATTTTATTATACAAAGCACAGGTTCATAACCACATCGAGTCCTTATGTCATGTCGGGTTCGGCGTCCCACAGTATCAAATTCTTCCACTTGACTCCGTACAACGTCGAGCAGTTCGTATTGTTGACATTCATATGCTCACATCCGATCTTGAACTCTTAAGCTTTTTAAGGGATGTGAGCCCTCTCTGTAAGTTCTATCATCTGCATAACGGGAAATAGACGAAGGAATTTTTTAAATAGAGCTATAATCACCCTTTCATCGTAGCACTACTCGGCATAAGTCTTGAATTCATCCACATTCTTTAAACGTATTTAGAGTTGCAAGACTATACGTACATGCAGTCATTTTTTTCCTTCGTTCCAGGATGTGGAACGATCTTCTGTTTGAGGTTTTCCCAGAGAGTTACATATATGTAGTACAAGCTTTTCACCCGCTTGGAGTTCGGTTATATCGCGTTTTCAAGAGAACCTTTCAAAAGTCTGGGATAAAAACTATCCTATGTTATTTCGCAAGATCAACTCTATCTCTGTATCAAATCTCATTAAAATCAGTTCAGTGGTTTAGGCGTAAAAGTGTAACAGATAGACAGAGACCGGGTAATTTTCGCATTTATAATATTATTAGTAGGGATGTATATGATACCTATATTTTTACAAGTGTTACTAGAATTTTCAAATAAACAGAGTTCAATACAGATATGTTAGTCAGGGTTTCTTTAAGAAATGCGCATACTAAATTATATAAGAAATAGTGTTTGCTCACAAATTCATGCTCATTATCTTCAGAATTTGTTTAAGTTGCCAGTAAATAATAATATGATATTCAACTTTTAATTACATCTGTAGAATGTCATGTGACTTCATACCAATTAAAATATATAAGATCTCCGACTTAAATAAGAAGTTATTGAAGGGTGAATTATAGCTTTTATCGTGTTTTGATGTCTAAACTACATTACTGTATAATTGTTACGAAATTATGGCGGAAAAGAGCATCAAACGTCCATACCTTACAGACTTTCGCGTTTATACAATATATTGTGCTATATATGACTTTCACATGAGTTTGGCATGTTGTAAGTGCCAATTATTTTTTTTTTTATTTAATATAATAATAAATTTAATAGAATATATTTTTTTAATTTATATATTTAGATTCATCAACAAATGCATTTTTGGATGTTATAAAACTATTTAAATATTATTAATGGAGGAGAGTTAAATAAAAGAGATATATTTTATTCGTTGTTTTAATGATAATGACAGTTCTAAATACCGATGATTTCACACACCAATGGACCAAATTTTAAGAAACACAATATATAATATCAGAAACAAAAACATTGAACCAACTTTGATATACAATTAGATTATATTTAACAATTGTAACAAAATAATAAATTAATGCTTTAAAACGCCATTTGACCTTTATCTTTATTTATAACAAATTTTATTTAAATCCAAAAAAGATTATTTTATATTTCTGTTATTTAAAATATAAGAATATAAAAGTATCAGTACGTATGCTTAGTCCAAGTTTGCATAATCACGCTAAAACGCAGCGTTAGCAGTTTTTCAATAATAAATCGCATTACAGCATTAACGTAGGTTATTGAATAAGAAACGAGAAAATCTTAGTTAATGTAACGAAACAAACTTAGATTAAGCATTTTGAATCGTATCTGCATAAGAAGTGACTGAATGTGCGTTTGTTTAGTATAAATAAAATTTGAATACGAACAAAGTCAGCTGTGATCATATGTATAATGTGGTTATAAACGTACCATTGGTTGTGCATTTATTTAATTATAGGAAATATATTTATGGACCATTGAAATAAATAATTTTATTATGAAAATCAAATAAATGTCACCAATTTATCAAATACTACATTTGTGTTGTTTTATTCAGTGTTGCAAGAATAAATATTATCAAAAAAATGTACATTTTAATGTTTATATATTAAAAATACCTAACAAACGTTCTAAAAAAATATTTATTTGAATAAACAGTCCATAGCTACTAGTTACTTGAATGATGTAACAATCAGGTGATCTTTAAAACAAAATATTTTATTATAGAACATAATAAGATTAAGGCTTCCTTTTTAAGTTGAGATTAATAAAAAAAAATTAGATCAGTAATTCAATCACGTGTAACCCCTAGAGAAGAAAATTGTTTAATCCATACTAAAAATTTTGTTTCATTCAATTCATATATGTAAATCAAGAAATTATGAGTATTTCAATAAAAATATAAATTTTGCAATGTTTTCTTTTGACCAACTGAGTTCATTATTTTGATTGTATTGCATTAATCTAATGTCAAGAAATTATTTGAATAGTGCATAGTGCAATAAAAACCTATGCATTATCAATTCCTTAAAAACATATTATTGTTTTCTACTCAAGGGGCCGACTTATTAATTAAAGAAGTAAAAATAAAATATTACATACTCTTATGTATCTTAGGCCGTATGTCGTTTTCTAAGAGATAAAAATTTTAATTACACAAAGGTCATGTTATGAAAGAAGATTTCAGACGATACCGGTTTTCAGTTTTTGTTTCTTAAAATGTAAAGTACAAAATTCGTAAGTATATATTAAGTATACAGAAGACCAATTTATAGGTAGAAATGCTAAGAGATTATAAAAAATTACTGAACTTACTTAGAGGTTTCCGCTATGATATGGCAACACTGTTATATATCTAAATTGACTAAAAATTTTACATTAAGGTAACTATGTCATGAATTTTATGATCATCTATATACTACTAGTTTAACGTTTAACGTGTGCACGTTATATTTAAGTTTCCTTTCAATAATTAATTATTTTTTGTTTATTACATTAAAATCTCATAATAGGAAGTATAGACGGAACATCACAAAAATACACGTACATGGTCTTACAAATAATATAAGAATCGTAAGGAAAAATGTCATTCACTGTAGTAATATGTATAAAGATAAAACTTTAACATTAAAAAATACTTCTGAGTACTAAAACGAACACTTAGAAATAACAGAAATCATTATTCTCATAAGTAACACAACACTTACAGTATCTGGGGATGTAAAATATTAAAAACAATAATATGTTAATACGTTTCATTTAAAATGAGTAAAAGGACTAAATGTTAAAAGTTATTATAAATAATTTCATTTCAAATTTAATGTATCAGTAGAATTATATCATAATCAGTTAAATTCCAATATTAATAAAAATTACATAGACAAAAAAATGTACGTCTGTATTATACGATACGATGCTACGTCTATACTTATTATTTTTTCCACACTCTTTATGAATGAATGATGTTATTATACAAATATTAAAATAAGTTGATGTCTAGTTTGTGAACACAGAAACTGATAATTTTACAATCAATATACCAAATCAAGTGCCGATCTAAGCAATAGTCACATAGTGGATTCAAGAATAAATTTGCATCAGAAGTTAACACAGATATTTCAAACTTGAACTTTTATTACATTTTCTTTGGCTTTCTTTAAAAAATTTCGTATTATAGGCCCGCATCTTAATTATATGTATATTATTATGACAGTTAGTATCAAAACAAAGTTACAGTAACTCATTAATGGTGTTAAAAGTTTATAATGCTTACAGTAGCCAAGTTACATTTAATAATAGTCAAAATCCTTACATCCAATGCACACCGCCCATAAACATTTTCCAACAATAATACATGTTTATACGAAATAGTTATTGAATTCTTAACGTACGAGATTAAACATAACCTACATATATTAAAGCAAATCTATTCTACATTCCGGGAATGTATTGTTTATAAAAAACACTACGACTACATTTATATACAAAAAAATTATAATAAATTATAAAAAAATATATAGCAATCGTTAACATACACAACTCCTTAACGGCTTAGAATTAAATAAAAAATTATAAAGAGATTCTATCTTTGGAAGAGTAAACACAGATAATAGAAAACACTTATAAATAATATTATGGAATGTTAATATGAGCGATCTTAAAAAATTACATACATGCCAATTGTATTGAAATAATATAATATCAACGGAACGGTATTATTGGTTGAATTGACAGTTAATAATGGCTTCGGGCGAAGCTTTCGTTTCTGGTTATACAGGGTGTGAGGCCGCCTCGCCTGGCAAGGAGTGAACACGCGCTGATAGGAGATTATGAAGAATAAATACAGCCGGCTTAGGACTACCCTCCATATCAAGCTCCTGGAAATTAAACACAATTTTTATTAGTATTCAAATTAGGGCTACTTTAAATATATTGAGTATTGAAAGATTACCTATAATAATTTAAATTATAAAGCAATGTTTCTTTATATTATGAACGAGGGATGAAAGTTGAAGAGCTAAGTTTAAATAAATATAGATAGATACGAAAAATGTACGCAACTTTTGAGGGGGAGCGAAATTCAATGTTTGGCATTTATATTTTCATGTTATTTTATTTTTGAGCACGTCGTGTGTTATTTTCCAGCTAACATGTGTGTTGTCTTCTAGTGCTTGAATAGATTTTGCCCTTATAAACAAAAAGTTGGACATGTCACGACAAGAATTATATAATAGTGACAAAAGCATTACTTATTCGTTAAAATTGTTCAAAACGAGATGAATTGTTTATCCATGTTATTGAACTATCGACGCTTCTACTCTTGTTATTGGTTCGACTATGTTAGATATGGGGCATTATCATTTTTAAAGTTCTTTCTTTCTTTCGGTGTAAGGCCACAACAAGGATCGCAGACATTGTTACTTCTCAACAGACAAAATAATTCCACCAACAGATTTTTCCAGATCTCGCGTATCATCCGATGAAGCCGTAAGGAGGACGGATCTTGTTAATGTTCTAAGTTGCTAAAGTTCTAAGTTCTAATGATCTTGTAGGGTTGGTTGGCTTGGAGGTGACGCTTCGCTAGTCTACTACAATCAAAAGGGGGGCCAAATAGTAGACTAGCCACACATAAAAAGGACATTTGTGTATCCCAGGATGGCGACACAATATCTGGGAGATTGGACGATTTTTGTAAGGTAATAATGTTAAGTCCTCGTGAAATTTATATTATTCAATATATCATAAATAGTTCCAATAATTGAGAATGCATTAATCAATGGTGTCTAAATACTCTTAGAAAGTACATATGACTCGGAAAAATCACATTGGTACTTGCCACGATCGAACCCGCGCCCCCGTGTACGAGAGGCGGGGCCCTTTAACCACTAGGCCACCACTGACTGGCTGACTGAGAGTATAGTATAAAGAGAATATTGTAGTTATTTGACCACCGCTGGGCTCATCCAAATATAAGACATGTCCATACAACCAAATGCCTGGATATTTAGAAAATTAAGCTTTGAAACAGCAGATCGCATATGTGTAGCAAAAATAGATTTACGGAGGACAGATTTTGGACCAAAACATTAATTAGTGGTACAAAATACACAGCGGGTCCAGAAGATGTAAACAACCAAGAGTGTTACAAATGCTTAAAGCTATCGAAAACATTCGAATGCATTGATGAAGTGAACAAAACATTGACAATAGTCGAATCGCTGTAAGTGTAGTTTATGACAGGTATTGACAAGCTTTGACATATAGTGGACCCACGAAGATTACAAAAACAACCATTTTGAAGTAATCCAAGGATTGGCGATAACTTTGGCACAAGTATAAATTCTTTGATGGAGATTAAAATTTAAAAAATTAAATTATTGTCACGAATAAATAGATATTGAAAAACTCGTACTTTTTGATCAGATTTCATATTGCTGAACAAAAATCTATACTGTTCGCATATTCATATACTAGGTAAATTATGTGTTCTGTTAGTGTTAATTATATTACCATGTCAGTGTTTGTAATATTACCAGTATGACGTCGTATTACTCTTATTTATATTACCACTGTGTCATGTCAGTGTTTGTAATATTACCAGTATGACGTCGTATTACTCTTGTTTATATTACCACTGTGTCATGTCAGTGTTTGTTATATTACCAGTATGACGTCATATTACTCTTATTTATATTACCACTGTGTCATGTCCGTGTTTGTTATATTACCAGTATGACTTCATATTACTCCTATTTATATTACCAGTGTGTTATGTCAGTATTTGTTATATTACCAGTATGACGTCATATTACTGTTATTTATATTACCAGTGTGTCGTCGTCAGCGAAGTGCAGCCAGAGGGCGGTGTTGTCGTCGTCCGCGGATGCTCGCAGGGCGTGCAGCGCTCGGCGGTAGAGAGCGCGCGCTCCTCCGCGACCCAACGACCCCGCCGCCTCCCACACACACACGCCGCCGGCCCCTAGAGACAGGCGAGCGCACGCGCCGCGGTAGCGACAACCTGACAAACAAAAAACGAAATTTTAATTATACTAGTACCAAGTACCAATGTGATTTTTCGGAGTCATATGTACTTTCTAAGAGTATTTAGACACCACTGACATACGGTGAAAGAAAAACATCGTTAGGAAACCTGGCCTTATAGTTTCACAATTATAAGTTTGAAATCACCAACCCGTCTTGAGCAAGTGTGGTGATTAATACTCAAACCTTCTCCATGTGAGAAAGAGGCCTTTGCTCAGCAGTGGGCTCTGATAGGCTGATGATGACGTATTTAGTTATGAAAACTGTTTTGAATGCCACATTATACTGTTGTAACTGTAGCTGTAAAAATTTTTCACGTCACAACCAGGATATAACTTGAAAATTTGTAAAAATTCATTGAAATACAGTTACAATAAGCGAGATTTTTACTATTTAAACTAAATCAACGCTCTCGAAAGGTGAACTTTGTGATTATATGTAAGTTAGTATAAAATTATATCCCTACTAATATTATAAATGCGAAAGTAACTCTGTCTGTCTGTTACGCTTTCACGCCTATGGGAGCGTTCAAGTATTACGTAACGCAATTTTGAGGGAGGGGGGGTTTCGTAAAAAGTAATGATGCGTTACAGGGGCGGGAGGGGGTGTCTCTTACAAAACGTTACTGGCAACTCTTTTCATATACGTTACATTATGTTGACCAGATTGTATTAGTCTGGTCGATATTTTTATTTGTTATTCCAAGTTTGCAAACCTCTTAATTGATATTTTACAGGTAATACCTAGATTGCATTGTAAGTCTTTTAATGTTGCTTCCGTGGTCAGTATTCGTTAGTGTTTATCCGTGAGTTCATAGTGTTCATACTGTAATTTCTTCAGAAGAGGGAGATTTGTGTCAATGATCTTTTTTCATTTAATAGATCAAAACTATACCAAACTATTACATATTAATTTCCACTTTGGATGAAATTGATCACTTGAGTGTTACGTAACGTTTTGAGAAGGGGGCTACAGAAAAACGTTACTGTGCCTTAAGAGGAGGGAGGGGGGGTCAAAAATCTTCGAAAATTGCGTTACGTAATACTTGAACGCTCCCTAAACCAGTGAACTGATTTTAATGATAATTTATTCAGAAGAGGGAGATTTGTGTCAATGATCTTTTTTCATTTAATAGATCAAAACTATACCAAACTATTACATATGGATTTTCGACTTTGGATGAAATTGATCACTTGAGTGTTACGTAACGTTTTGAGAAGGGGGCTACAGAAAAACGTTACTGTGCCTTAAGAGGAGGGAGGGGGAGTCAAAAATCTTCGAAAATTGCGTTACGTAATACTTGAACGCTCCCTAAACCAGTGAACTGATTTTAATGAAATTTGGTACAGAGATAGGGTTGACCTTGAGAAAGAACATAGGGTAGTTTTTATCCCAGACTTTTGAAGGGTTCACTTGGAAACGCGATATAACCGAACTCCACGCGGGCGAAGCTGCGGGCGGAAAGCTAGTATCATATAATAACTAACGGAAGGTGAATTCCGGCTGCGCTCGCACAGCATGATGTGCGCCGTCAACTAGCGAGCCAGCGACGGCTGCCAGGTCGTGCGGCGTGTCTGCCCTTAGCGCTCTCACACACAGACCGGCCGGAGTCCCCGCCCGCACGCCCAGGGCCGCGGCGCCTTCGCCCCTCCTCCACCACGCCAGACGAGTCGCCGCCAAGCTAAAGCTTTCAGTCGGCGCGCACCACGCCTCTCCCGACCACGGCGCAGCTTCGTATAACCTAATAAATGATCTTATTACTCAAGGTCCTTAAAAATTATGTGCAAAGGATATATTAGGAACAATATTGAAATATTTTCTTTGGTTTCTATTATACATAGATGTAGTGATATACAAAATTTTCTTCACAAAAAATCCGTTGTTTACATCGTTATGGACTAGGATTTATAAGGCAAAAATATGTTTGATAATAACGTTTTTTTTAACGACAAATGGGCATACGAGCAGACGGCCTACCAGATGGACCTCTATCTAGGTAGGACCATCGCCCATGGACATCCGCAACATAGATTTGAGGATGCATTGCCACCCTTGATTGGGAAACAGGGAGAGGAAAGGTGGGAAAAGGGAAATGGTATCCACAAATATAAATACGATCTTTGTGAACTCACTTGATATGTATTCAACTCAAACATGTATAAGGCATTTACCTCAATTCTCTATCGGTGATTGCAACAAATGTTGGCTGCCATCCTTCTGCATCATCAGAACTGTCAGAACCACCTGACGCACCCAGCTGGAAATGTAGGAATTAATAACATCACTAATTATACCAAACATACACTTTAACAAGTAATTGATAAGATATACTGACTTTAATAAGCAATTTCACCGAAATGTCGAGCAAAATAAATAATAAGTAATACCAATACACTGGGTAACTTTGATTCATCGGGTAACTTTGACAGTGGGACCATGAACTAGTTTCGATTATTTTTTTTGCATGAAACCAACACTATTCATATATGTATGTTTATTTTAGATTTGCGATTTTAAACAAGATTCCTAAGCGCACCTTAAAAAAAAGTAAGTTGTGAAAGTAAAAAAATATCAAAACTTTCTTTCCGAATATAGCGCGCGTATTTAAGTTGACTTTAGGGTGAATAACTTTTTGAATATTTTGTGATTTTGGTTGCCGATAAGATAAGTGAGATGTTATACAGAGCCATTTGTGATTGTTCTACCGCATTTTCATGAAAAAATTGCATATAATTAAGTCTTATTATGAAATTTCATGCATAAATATGAAGATATATATTTTGAACAGTAACTGGTTAATAGTTAATAAATATATACACCAATGTTACCCAGATTGATAAAAATAATACTTATTACTACTTTTTTATGCATGCCTCTGTGTGTGTCAAAGTTACCGATTTTATGAGGGTAACTTTGACAGGGCACAGAATTGAGATTTTATACTATATTGGTATGTTTCATAAACTTTCTGTTAATGTCTAATTGTCTAGAGACGGAAAGTAATACGAGAGCACTGATAAAATAAAAAACACCCGAGTGATAGGTTTAATTTTTTAAAATCTTTATATATATAATTCTTCTGTGAGTGTGTAGTGTGAGGTTTTTGCCTAATGGGTTATATCATTATTCATTGTGTGAATTCATTTTTTATTGTTTTATTACTTGAAACTTCTAGAAAAATTTTCTTGTTTTGGCAAATTTATAGTATTTCAAAAATTTTGTAAATATTGCTGATCATAATTTAACAAAACATAGAATATTACTTTTTTTACTAGATAAACTTTAAAGAGCCTATTGAATTAATCAAAAATGTTTTAGAGCAACCTATCTTTATATATATAATTCTTCTGTGAGTGTGTATGTCACTGAACTTCTCTCAAACGACTGGACCGATTTTGATGAAATTTTTTGTGTGTTCAAGGGGACAATGTTTTTTTTAATTAATTTTAATTTATTACTAGTTGTTGATAAACGTTTTTTTTGACATTAGATTTGACAACTAACTAATATGTCAATCATTCTGTCGCACTTCAAAACACGGAGATTTATAGCTTTAATAGGTGAACTCCAAAAATATAAATAAAAAAACGTAACAGATATTTCTTGATTATAGGGCGATACGAAGTTCGCCGGGTCTTCTAGTATAGTATTAAATATCACCCTTATCTGTCATAGTTACCCAGATTGACTGTACCCAGTTTGAAATATTACATAGGTAGCATTAAATAAATCTTACTGGTTCTTGTGGTGGGCGCCTCGCCAGCCAGCCGGCGTATCTGACGTCACCGATGAGCGGTCTCAGACGTGGCCGGGCCCGTGCCAGTGCCGCTCGTGCCGCACGTCGTGCCGTCGCGTGTAGCGCCCTGTGCCAGCCTGCTGCGGATGTGCCACACGGAGCACGCAGAGCCAAAGCGTGGACTCCGTCCGGTGAATATATCTCTATAGTCCGATCCTCTGTAATGTATTTATTATATCTTTAAATACAATCTTTAATAAAGACGAAAATTCAATATAAAATTCAGTGAAAGAAATTATTATTGATTACTTAATAAAAATTCTGGAAAACTGTGATATATGTTATTAGACAAATGAATTAATAAATTTCGCATATGATTGAATTTTATTTTCATATCTAGTTAGAACTAGAAGGTATTCTATTAACTGTATTGTTTTGATTCTAAAAGTAAAATTTGATTGTAGGCAGAAATATTTTCATACCAGGGTCATGATGTCTCAAATTTTTGGCTATACAGGCCATAAGAAGTGGTATATATCTGGTGTCAGCCCGTCTTCGGCGCGGAGAGGGTGGTGATGGTGGAGTCTCTACCATATAGCCTCGTTGCAACTCCCAGCCGACCTCACTTATAATTGATGCTTTGCGAAAATATGGAGTTACCTCTCTTAAATATTTCACTGAAAAGATAGTTATGTCAAGTTTATTCATCTGATATGATCATATGTTTTGTTTTTTATTTTAAAAATTTCACATCATTCCCAATTTTTACATAAATAAATCTGCAGGTGAATTTTACGGAAGAAGGAAAATTACTTTGACAAAACAATTCATTATGCAATTCCATTAAATTGTTTATTGTTTCCTGCATGTTAAAGAGCAGTTAAAAACATGAAGTTATATATATTTGTTACAACCAGACAGTGAGTCATGACGGAGAATAGTCTAATAGGCAATAATTAGGTTAATTTATTACATATAGTTAGTGAGGTCAAAGGTGGTTAGAGGCATTAAGACATCTATACATTTTGTGTTTATGGTTGTACTATCCTCAAAATATAAATAATTCAATGGTATGTGTGTAAAATGAGCAAATAACCAAAATATGTAGGCAATACTCATATGGTAATACCTTAGTATGGATTTGTTGGTCAATCACAGAAATAGATTATCTATTATCATACATAAAAATCTCAATTTATAACCCACTGATGTAATTTGTAATTAGAACTAAATAAAGGATATATATAAAGTAAAACATAAATATAGTAAATGCTCATCGGATAACTCCTCTGTTTAATGAGATCAGAACATTGATCACTTACAGGTCAGACTTAGTTTAATCCACAGTTGTTTGTGTTTAGAAATAAATGTTTAAATAACTGTACACAATACCCATACCCATCATAACCTACCTTCTAGCTGAACCATTTTCCCTGCTCGCTTGAGAGCTTTAACTGCTTCTTCATGTGTGGCATCTTTTAAATCTTCCCCATTAACAGATAAAATGGCATCACCTACATACAATTGTTCTGTGAGGTCTGCTGCCATGCCCTTGAATATTTTAGATATAAGTATAGGCATATTGTTTTCGATTCCACCTTTAATTGATATACCTAGTCCATTATTGTCTGATTTTACAACTTGTACCAAACGTTTCTGATTGGCAATAGCTTCCGGCACTTCTGTAAAGTCGCTATTGGGTGTTTCGACATTATTATTGTTAAGGGTTCCATTTAATGTAGTAGTCGCATCATAACCATCGTCTAAGCATACACTTAAATAATCATCTTCTAAGGAACAATGCACTCTGTACCAAACACCACGAACTAGGGTCTCTAACAGCCCAGACCTGACGCCAGTAGCATTTGGACTTTCGCTGCCACCACTCGATGCACCGTTTTCCACCATAATTTCTAGTTATGCACTATAATAATTATTATATATCATATAACTGATAGTATTTTCGTTTTCTTCCGCAGACTGTCAATTTTCAATATGAATTTTACGATACGAAATCTATAAAGTGTATTCAGATTTTTTTACAATTAAACGTTTTACTTTTGACATTTTTGTCAAAAGAGTTGTTACCGATTACTTCAGTTCCATTAAAGAATAACGAGGCATTAATACCAAATAAATAAACTTGATTTCACAATCAATATTACTACTATCGAGTAGAGAGTAGTGATTACTGAGTACCTAGGTACCTACCTACGGAGTACGGACTACTCTATTTACAGAAAAGATAAAGCAAATTTATTGAACCACAGATTATAAAAGGATTTCATTCAAGGCACTACACATGAAATCTTTAGACTAGTTTTATAAATATAAACATAGACTTTATCTGTCTTCACGTCATTTGTCAATGATGATACATTAATATATATGATTATTTTTAATACGTATTTTTTTGCTCTAGGATATCAATCTACATTTGATAAAGTAATTTTTAAATATTAGGTAACTTCAAAAGCGACATCAAATTTGACATAGTGACATTTGACATATGTTTCATTTCATTTTTGACAATTAGTGCTACTTAAAATCCTGATCGAAGAATTGGTTAAATAAAAACACGATGTCGTCTCAAATGTCTGCTTTAGAATTATTAAAACTTGGTGATCAAGGAAGAGAAGCACCCGTTTTAAATAAATATTGGCCTCATATTCTCGGAGTCGTCTTCGGTGTAGGAACAGGCGTTACGCTTAACTTATGTACTAGACGTCCAGTATGGAGCGGTAATATTATATAATAGTAGATTTATTTATTCAATAACATCACACGAACTGTTGACAATAAAAGTGTGATCCATATTTTAAGGGACAAACTTTTTGTCTAGGTATACAAAAGCATGTTCTTGGCGTAGCTGGTTGGACTGCTACTCTAATTTACTTTCAAAACAAACGTGATGCATATTATGCCGAAAAAGATGCAGTTCTAAGACATTACATTGAATTACACCCTGAAGATTTCCCAGAACCAGGTTGGTATCTTAATGTATTTGTTTCTATGTTTTTAAATTATTTAGGTATAAAGTTAATTATTTTTCACTATTACAATTTAGTCATAATTTTTTCATATGATTCTCTTTTGCTTATAGAAAGGAAAAAAATTGGAGAACTTTTGGAAGATTGGATCCCTATACGCTAAGTGCATATAATATTTTGCATATTTGAACAGATTTAGTGCAGTTTATAAGTTATGTTTTAATTAAATAAATAAATTTAAAAACATGATTGTTTTCTATTCAATCATAAGAGTAAGCAATAATTTAAATGGATATGTTTTGGCTACAAGCAAAACCATATATCTCATATTCTAATATTAATTCGATTTTAATGTACCTAAGTTGATTAAACATGATTTCAATGGAAAGCCTTATCATCATCATCACTTCAATTATGTGAGGTCCACTGCTTGACATACTCCCTATTAATAATTAAAATTGTCTTATGTAAATATACCTAACAGTAGTAATTAATTAGACTTAAAAATTTTACTGCAAATAATAATGGCTTAAGTAAAAATGTTTAAAAAGTGTGGGTTAACTGGCTTATAATAATAAAATAACTTTTATATATAAATAGTTTAATTCAACAGACTTTCAACTTTATGGTGCTGCATACAATGCTGTGAATATGTATCCATATAATTAACAACATCATTTGTTTTATTTTGAAATTGAACATGGTACATATTTTTAATATCCTTCTTGTATGGCAACATTGAGTTTGTATCAGGCAAAAGGTGTTCCTGCATTTTATCATCTGGTAAAGCATTATAATGGCTGCCGTCCTTTATATTGTGATCGTTCTTGACATCGTCAATACAAACTATATCAATATTCTTATTGGTATCAAATTCATTTTGATTCTTCATACTATCACCGATCTGATGCTTTTTCAACTTGTGGAGCTTCTGTAATTTTAATACATGAGATTTGGTTACTGTTTTATGTTGTAGTAAACAAGGACGTAATTAAAAATTACTTACGAGATCTCTACTGTGTATGTAAGCGGATGAACAGAGATCACATTTAAAATTCTTAACCCCTCGATGCTTGCACATATGACGAGTTAACTCACTTGATGTTATAAATGATTTGTTACATAGAGCACACACCTGGAACAAATCACAACTTTATTATTTTTCTCTGGTAAGGTTAAAATAGAGATACTGCTCATAAAATTGTGTGATAGCTCATTAGATCCAAAATAATACCTTGAAAAATGCGCCTAATGTGTGTATAAGCATAAAAACAAATTGCAAAAGGTAAAAACAGTTAAAGATGAAAATAATGGTGTCTTCTGAAAACTATTAATAATTTGTTCCTGTTGGAAATTTTACTAAAATTAATTTTTCTAAGTTAAATGTTAACTTACATGGTCTTTCTGCCCTGTGTGGATCTTCAGATGGGCTTGTAAGTTTCCTTGAGCAGAGAACCTTTTGCTTTAAATAAAAATTTCATAATGATTATTGAGATATTTTACTTATCACAATCTATACTATATTGTGTATATGTCTGCTTTTTATTTTAAATTTATGAAGCTTATCAATAAAGCATATAAAACATGTGTTCTAAGCTGATGAATGCTTTTGGTATCATAACAGTTTTTCTTTTGATGGAAATGGTATTTTCTCAAATCTTAGGATGTGCTAAATTCAATTAAATTGTCTGCATATATCGAATTTCACTTGAGTAATTCCAAAAATTGATTTTTTTTAATTGGTACTACCTATGTGGTTTTTTATACAGATAAAAATTGTTTTTATTATTTTGTATATACATTGTAACATACATACAAACCTGCAAACTTCACATTGGAATGGTTTCTCACCAGTATGAACACGAAGGTGTATTGTGAGGTTGTGTTTCTGTGTGAACCGTTGCGGACAGTACATGCATTCAAATGGCTTATCTCCTGTATGTGTCCTAAAACAAGTGATAACAAAATAAGTATGTAAAAGTTACTTTTGCCTTTCAATAAATTGAGTGGTTGATGAAAGATTTTATGAAAATAATGACATTCTATGAGATCTTAGACATTTACAAGCATTTATTAAAATAAAACTAATATTTTCAGATCATATGTGTTGTTTTACTATGGTAGATCTTTTCACATCTCACTAAATTCATCTCCTTTGCCTGATATCACAGTTGCTGCTAAATAACCGAAACATCAGGTGTATGTAGTCTAAAATAATAAAATAATGTTTAGTAATCTGGAAATATTCATTTTATTTCAATGACATTTGAACAGTAGAGATATTTTCTATTTCAATATATTTGTGTCTGAATTATATAACTAACACATATTTCTCACATAAGAGACAAAGCTGTTACCAGGTCCATCTCGTTGCAGGGAGAGGAGCTTCAACAGTGCCCGGGACGACCCAGGTGTAGGTTTAAGGGGTCCCTATCTAATATATTGTATATATAGTAATGTAGTGTCATACCTTACATGCATATCTAATTGTGCTTGGCATCTAAACTCTTTGTTACATTGATAACAGGAGTGCACTTTCTTGGGCTTTGGTTTTGGCCCTCGTTTTAATTTCTCAGATTCAGGTTTTCTTTTATAATTTGATGTGCTCTTCTTTTGATCTTGTTTGCATTTACTGAAATATAATTAAAAAGTTGTCCTTGATCTATCATTTTATTTTATTAAGTTTATAACTTAGATATTATATAGGATAATTTAAAAGATATTGTCATAATTTTAACATTAATTTATATTTTCCTACTTTACCATCTTTTGATTATAGTTGTTTGTGTCATTACCTGGAAAACAAAAATTAAAGGAATAAATACTAACACATGTTATAAATTAAAAAAGTAAGCACCTCAAGTAATACTATATTCTGTAAAACTTACGATTGGATCTGTCATAACCATAGCATCATTGACTCTGGAAATAAAAGTTTTTTTTTCATATATTATTGCAATATAACAGTTATTAATTTTAGTTATATATAACAGTAACTCACTTGCTTTGTTTTGGTATTCCTAGATATTGGCGTAAGCGAACATCAGCGCGTTCACAGGTTTGTTTGAAATGATAGGCTATTCCTAACTTGTACATACAGTTGCTACACATTTGTTCAGGCAACCCATCGTTACGGCTTATCTTAAAATAACACAGTAATTAAAAAAATTGTTAAAACGAATGTAAGTGAAAACATTACGTTTAGGTTTTATTTCTTACCTTTATATTGCTACAGTATTCAATCATCTCACATATAGAGATACTATAGTTTTCAACAAAAATAGATGATAATACACCTTCTTCCAAACAAATTCTACATATTTTATTCATTTTTCGCTATTAAACCTATATTATTGTTATTGTGTTTAGTATCATAAGCATTTAATTAAATGTAACAACCCCTATATTATAATATTTATTTTGTAAATTGTCCGTTGCCAAATGTGTTTGACATTAGACATAAGAAACAGATTCTAAAAACTTGCAGCTTATAATCCGATGCCTATGCTATAGTTGTATAAATACTTAGTTTTTTTTTTGTAATCATTCAATAATATATAATGGTGATACTCACCCACACATAGTTTACTAACTAGTTCAAAAAGAGAAGATCGAAAATAAGAAGGAACTAACGACAGTCTAAGATTAATTTTTATATTTTGCAGAAATATAATAATTTGTCCCAATGAATTCAGGTATAGTTAGAATAATATACTTGATATATTTAAATTTGTACAAACATATAGTGTGAGAGTATAATTCATTACTTGCACAGTTCTGTGTGTAGCTTAAATGACGAAAGAAGAAGCATTCGACCCATCACGCAATAACAGAGCAGTAATATTTCATGAAGCGTGAGCCAACGAGTTAGGAGATTTGCTAAACGGTGCTTACTAAGTCTTACGGAAATGGTCTTCCACAATTTTAACTAATAAGAATTAACAAAAAGACAAGGTTGCTCAAATGAAAATCAATTATAGTCTCCTTCTTCAATGGAAATGTTCTCTCATATTAGACCAAACTTTTTCGATTTTTATGATGATCTTACATTGCAGTAGTGCAACTAATTGCAGTCGCTTTTGATATTAATAATATATTATCTTTACTTTAAAGTTTTTCCTTTAGCAGTCATCAGCCTATCAGTGCCCACTGCTGAGCAAAGGCCTCTTTCTCACATGGAGAAGGTTTGAGTATTAATCACCACGCTTGCTCAAGACTGGTTGGTGATTTCAAACTTATAATTGTGAAATTATAAGTCCAGGTTTCCTCACGATGTTTTCCTTCACCGTATGTCAGTGATGTCTAAATACTCTCAGAAAGTACATATGACTCCGAAAAATCACATTGGTACTTTCATCACTTTAGCAGTAGAGTGGTAAAATTTTAAAATATGTAGGTACTCGAAGAAAGAAAATATTAAATAAATAGAGCTACACTTCATAAATTTTATAAAATATTGCTTTTTAGTTTTCCATTTAGTTTAAATTTAAGCCTTGTCTATATTACTTTTTATGTCACATATTAAAATGAGTTACAGACACCAAAGAATATGTGTATTCTTTCAGTAAATCTTTAAGAAACTTTTAGTCAATTACTTTGCTTTCGTTCAATGAAATTAGAGCCAAATACAAAAGTAAAAACGTAATTCAAGCAACAGGAGCTATTTTCCTTTAGTGACTGATCAATAAAGTCTAAGATAAAACTCGATTAACTGTAAAGTGTTTCTACATCGCACATTGTTTTAATCGATAGCATCCATCCTATATATTACGAATGTCTAAAGGACAATGCGACGAAGGTCTAAAGGAAAGGATGGAAGGTTTTATATTATGGCAATGTTTTTTCATAAACGGGGAATATTGTGGGGTATATACCATATTATAATGTAATTTACCCTTATAACGTACTCTCTTTCTAAGTTATTTCCGTTGTGACAAAGATATATCGTATACGCCACTGTAATACCTACACTCCCCAAAATGCTAAAAAAATTTCAAAAGATTGTTATTTTTTTTAAATAAAATGCTTGAATCGACAAATTTACTAATTATTGTTGGATGTACAGATTAAACTTTATATGATTAGACAAAAACAAAAAAAAAATAGACATTTTAAATATATTTCAACATAACATTGTGTAATAAAAGTTATCAGCATTGACATATATAATGTTAATAGACATTGATATACTACATATTAATAAAATCGATATTTTAAAATTAACAAACAAATTATATTTCACTTTATATAACAATAGGTGTATATTAATTTAAACATTAGCAATGGCTGGGATCAATTTGACGTAAATATCAATGCCTTTCAAGAAAATATTTGCGTCCAAAAATTCATCATGATCATGCAATAGTACTGGAGTGTGGTTCATAGGAGAAAATCCAATTGCAGGTATTCCAACCTTCCGAACATACCGACTGTCTGTGCCACCGGGGAATATTCTTATATCTAATTTAAGATTCCTGCAAATTCAAACATGTTTTAACCGCTAGTAAAATAAACTATATTTCTGAATATAAACCTGTAATCTGGACCCTCATTAAATTTAAATAATGTGATATCACTCACAACTCATCGGCCACGGATTTAAATGCAACCCAATAAATATTGCTGGCATCTGTCTTCGTGCATTCTACAGGAGCATTTTTTTGTTCAAATTCAAATGTCACACCCTCGCCGGCTTCCTTACACCATTGTTTGATCTGTGATGATATTATCGTTATAGAAGATATGATAAAATACTATATAAGAATAAAATAATATATATTTTGGAAGCAGACCCTGTTCTCGAATTCTTCATGGTCCACGTGAATGGCGAGTCGACAATCAAAAACCACTGTTAATTTTTCTGGCACCACATTCGATTGTACACCACCCTTTAAAAATATTTCATCAAAATTATTTCACCGTATCTGTTATCCTTTATGCTGTATTTATACTTACCAATTTACGGAGATTTTAGCAGCAAAAAGGGACAGAGGTACAATTAAAATAATGTTATTTCAATGATAAAAATATGTGTACCTAAAGGAAAATTATACTTACGAATACTTGAGTCAAATTTATGGTCGTTACATCACCGATTGTCAGTTTAGGATTGCTTTCCAGAATTTTCTTTTGCTCATCTCGTAAGTCCATGAACTTATTGATTATGTATCTCATCTACAAGTAGAATGACCAGTCTTATTGCAAAGATTAATGTTATCTTATCGAAAGACGCAGGTAAAGCGTGAATCTCATACACATAAATAAAATTGTAGTATTTGATTATGTTAATAAAATAAGCGTATTTATAAAATTTATATGGATGCATAAAACATTTTCTCAATTGTTATTTGTTGTCTATCGTTCTGTTTGTCACAAGTAGATAATTAACCGATGTAATAAAATAAATCGGGCTAATTCTTTTCACTAATAATAACCATAAAATATACCTAAGTACTCCGCATTGAAAATAAAGGACACAGTAAGTTTGCAAATAAACCCAAATATTACCTTTTCGCCAGCAGTGTTAGGTATGAGAAGAGATCCGTGACCCGGTTGGCCGGTACAGATTACGTGGATTTCTGTAAAATTTATATTACAACTTTGTAGATTTGTAAATTTATATTCATACATTTGTTACATGTGAGTTTCAGATGGAATGGTACGTTCAAAAAATACAAATTATACATGAGCAATTCATATTAAATCGAGTAAATAACAATGTACTTGTTATTTACTTGGTATAAAACTAAGTTAATTCTGACTGCCCGTAGAAAACACTTGAAAAGAAAAACGAATTGTTTTAGCGTCCGTGTCTAATTAGTTGTTAGGCTATTTTTTAAATAGGTTTCAAAATTTGTATTATTTCTCATACCACTTACTACAGTAACAAAAATAATATCTAAAACAAAACCGGGTAATGAAATTCAGTTTGAAAATTAAAGTCTACATAAAAAATAGTAAATTTTAGTATCGGTAATGTGAATTTAAATTGTTTTTGACCCTATCCGATTGAGCTACCAATTAAAATTGAGCTACCAAAAAAAGATTAAAATTCATAAAGGTTACAATTAAAAGATGTTTCGAATGATGAAACATTATCAAGATAAATTAAATGTTCTAAATCCACAAGTAATCTAATAAGCGACGGTAACAGAACGAGAAACTCGATCAAATGTAAGTAATATAAGCACCTAAGTGTAATGTTTGTAATGTTTGTCTTCAAATGAGGTGCAAGTCTCATATGTCAAAGCAAAGATTTATACAGTAAAGCAAGTACTGTGCGAAATTTCAACATTTATATGTTACTAAAACAAATTATATTATTAGACTAAGTATGATTTTTAAGATATCCCAATTAGATACAGTAATTTAAAAGTAATCTAAAACAGCCGATGTTGCGGTCGATAATTGCACCTATTTCTTATAAATATTTAAACAAAAATTCGTTTTCAAATTAATAAATAGTTACCAGCGATGTATTGTATATACTTCTTTGTTTTTATTGATAAAATTTAAATATTCATACAATAGCTTACTACAACAAAAAAGCCCGGGTAACAAAGGCCGAGTACTTAACTAGATAATCTTTCAGCTTACTGAGCGTATAAAAAAAAGACTACAAAAATAGTACGTACATTTTTGTATAGACAAAAATATTGAAACTCATTGGTAACAAGTTAAATGTTTTCTCTGTTTTATAATCGATTCAAATAATAACAACTGAACTTGAACTTGATGATGAATAAAAAAAATTGCACAGCGTGTTGTGGACGTCTTATACCTACTTACGGATGGAAACCAAAACAATATATTTATTGAAATGAAACTGTGTCTTTATGAAATCCTATGAGATTTTATTATTGAATATTTACATGTTCCCGACGTTTCAATTACTTTTCAGTAAACGTTATCACAGGCAGACGAGATAAAAATGTTTTCAACACACTTTTAATCCATTGATTGATGTTGTATAAACTTTTCACAGAAACTAAATTTTAGATTCAATCATCATAACAAACCTTTTGGGATTACTATTTTTTGTGATGCCAAAAAAATTTGTATTTTAAATCATTTTTAGTATAAATTTCAAGAACAAATAGAATAAACAATCTTTACGTGTAGGCGTATTGGGTAGATTTGTATTTACGACTAGCTTTCGCATTTAAGACGGTAATAATTCTATCTGTATCTTCTAAGGTACTTTTAGTGGTTCTGACCTCTTTAACTTATTTGTTGACAAGTTTAAATCGTTTTAGCCTCCCTAAATCCTTAGGGAAGGTAACATTTCAACTCACTAAATACTTTTTTAAGACTGAAATATCAGAGTTATATTTAAAAATCAATTTCATGTAGGTACATTCTTGTTCTTTTGTCGGAATTCATCGTACCTTTTCCATTTTTCCCATCCAAATAGAAAATGTTTTTGAGCTGTCCATTCAGCTTTATACCAAAAATTCTTACAAAAAACAGTGAATTTTATATCTTTTAAGAAATATAAAGTTTTAAGGCTAGGTATACGAGCTGTAACTGTTTGATGTATATATATCTAGTATTCAAAAGAATTTATTCATTTTACAATAAAAATGTAGGTATATTTTCAGGCAATATTTCATTTCTGTTGAATACAAATAAAAAAGCTCTGAGGAACTCTTTGAACTAAAATTCGTTACCGAAATATAAAACCTTTGTTAACCGTGAATGTTATGAAGATATATACTATTTTATATTAAACAAACAATTTAGAGTTTTGAAACTGGTAGCCACAATTATTCACGATATCAGCTTGTAGTAATCATAGTTAAATATATTAAAATGTAAACAATGACCGTATGATAAGAAAGTAACACAATTAAGAAGAAGGATTACTTAATTAACTGTTCCGATGTCTGTGTTTATAATATTTTATTGCTTGTGTTATCATGTGCTCATATCAATGAAATTAGTTAATTTTTACTTAATTTATAACACGCGAACGAAAGTCAGTGCTACAAGACGTTTCAGCATCGGCTTCATAAAACATTAAGATGCAGTGAAGTTTTAAATTAATTAAAATAAATAAGGTGAAAGAAATAGAGATAAGGAATATTTTCAAAAAGAATTCATAACATTTTCTTCCTTCCTGTAGTTTTAGCGAAATTAAAAAAAATGGTTAGCCAAGAAAGTCATGAAAACATAAAAATAACAAAGAATAGCAGTTTATCAGATACACTTTTAAGGTGCTCCGAAAATTGGAATATCTACTAAATTTAATATAGCCGTTATGGGGATGATGAAAGAAAGTATATTCTATTTCGTTATCATTAATAAGTTTAAAAGCTTACGAAAAGACGACTTAAACAAGTCACAGCGAATATAAATGTAGAGATAATATTCAAAAACAGCTGTCGAGCTCCTGTACACATAAGGTATCAAAAAGGTTTTGTAATATAAGTATATTAATAATATAAAGTGATTTATCTATTATTCATTTTATAAATTAAACTATTTAATTAAAATTATATTGGCTATGGTACCTATTGTTTCGAAACGTAACCCAGTAAGCGGCTAGGATGACATTGAATTCCTTAAAAGCTAATGTATTTTTCAAGTTACTTATTGTTAGTACGTCGTACGCATGTAACGGTAATAAATTATGTTGAAATGGAAAAAGGGGCCATTCTTTTAAGCATATTAAATAAAAATAAAATGCTGTTGTGACGCTTGGGTTAATTAAAACGTATTTATATTATAATAAAATATCTACTTACGCCAAATATTCCTTTCGCCATTGAACACAATGAATTCTTCGTCCGGATTCGCCATGCCTTCGTCCAAAGCGAAACCTACGTTTAAAGCCTTAAAAGAATCCGTGTGGACGAATATCTTCATGCCATCGTGACCACCGATCTCTTCGTCTTAAAAATTAAATATTTACTGTGATTATATATAAAAAAAATATGAAAAACTTTGTTACTAAAATGTCTAAATAGAGTAACTAAATTAAGCAGTTATTATATAAGGTCAAAATGTTTTTTTTTTATACGAATAAAATATAGGCTACACACAACGTATACAAACAATTTATATTTCGTGTACCTTCTAAAAGCCACAAATAAAATATATTTCTGAATAGTGTTCTTATTATTAAACATAATAACGTTCACCTGGTACAAAGGAAACATGTAGCGTCCTTTTTAGTTGAATTCCTGAAGACTTCAATTTTCTTATAGCCTCTAGGTACTGAATACCAACACATTTCATATCCTGCGAGCCACGAGCAAAGATTTTTCCATGTTCATCTATGTGCGCGCTGAATGGTGGATAAGTCCAGCTCTCCTACAATTTTTTAAATTGAATACTTACATTTTGACAAGCGAAAATCATCCTTAATGACAATTGAAATATAATTCATAATACATTGCTTCAGCAAACACAATATTATTTAAATGAATGAATGAAATAACATGTTAATTTACCTCAAATACTGGAACTACGTCCATATGTGAGTTAAGTAAAATCGATGGAAGGCTGGGATCCAAACCTGGCCAGGTTAGGATTACGATGGGCTTAGTCGATACTAGCTCATACACCTTAAATCTTAAGCCTATTTCCTGGCTTTGTCTTTTCAAAAAATTAACACATCCATCTAAAATTATTCAATTTAGATTGTATTTGATATCTTGCCCAAAACTAATAAATACATATCGTATATATCTTTTATAAGCATATGTATATATATTGAGAAGCGAAAGTGTTTTGTTAAAATATTTTGTAGTACCTAACTTGATAATGATATACACAAGTATTACATAAATTTTAATGCATACGTAGATATACATATATACATGTAGATTAGAAAATGTATTTATCATCTACTAAATTGTTTATTCAAACATCAAATAGGGTTTGATAATACATTTTATACTTTTTTAAATATGTAGATTTAACTATAACTAGGTATTTCTTTCTTGTTCAATTTTAAAAGATTACTGATAAACAGACGTCTCTATGTACTTAACTCTACTTGTGTATTTATTTTCTAAAAAAAATTCCATTCATTGTTTATCTTCCCCTGCCCATTACTAGTTATGTTTAGTACATGATATTACTCCTTGTTATTCAATTGAAATCATTGAGATCGCTTAAACCGAGGGCATATCGCAATAAATGATCCCAGTGCGAATGAAGCCATAGCATTATAAAAAAATTACAATAAACATGTTTAGACATACTTATATGATCTATATACATTAAACTTAAGACGAACAAATGAGTCGTAGTTATATGCAATATTATTTGCATATTTAAATTAATTGATTCCTAAGAGAGGAATCTAAGTTACGTATGCAAATTTTTGCCATAATTAACCATGCTGCAAGTAAAGTATCAGATAACTACCTACTTTCTGTAGAAAGTATCTACTAAAACCGCTGTCAAATAATTAATTTCAATTTATGAGAACATATTCAGGTAGACGAATCGCAATGAGGTTAATCCCAAAATACTCAGTGCAAGAATTTCAACGATAATCTAACGTATTTCCCTTCAGCAAAGTGAAATTATGACAAAAGAGAAATTTAACTACCTACTATGACATTAGTAAATATCCTTTTTATATATAGTTTTTGTATAAGAAACTAACTGGTATAAAGACACCTGTTTTCATTATAATATAAACGTTGATCATTCCCTGAGCAGGGCTAAATATTAGGAAAATATGTGTTTTTCAAACCTTTATAACTAGAAAGCATCTTATAGTTTTTAAAAAGAGTATGTACTTTCTAAGAGTATTTAGACACCACTGACAGACGGTGAAGGAAAACAACGCAAGGAAACCTGGACTTATAATTTCACAATTGTAAGTTTGAAAGCACCAACGCGTCTTGAGCAAGCGTGGTGATTAATGCATTCCCAAAAAGGATTGATGTGAGGCAGGCGGCCGGTCGTAAAAACAATTAGCAAAAAGCTTTTACAACATGTAAGGCAGACCCTGGCTAAAGCTGGGAAATTGCCAGGAAGAAAAAGAGAACTTTTATAACATCAGAGATAAAGAAGTAGAAGTTTGGATTAAGTATTAAGATGGCTAGGAGCCTGGAATACTAAAACGGAACGGTCAACAGAAATTGAGGGCTTCCTGGAGCTGCTATCCTAGAGTTGCTCACGCAGAGGTACGTGCAAAATAATGAGCGGAAATGACCTATGTATTTGAGGAGTATTTGCCGGTAGTAGGGTCAGTTCAGCATCCGCATTAGGGCTATGATAGAGAACAAATTCTTTGTGGGTAGTTGTTTTCTTTTGGGTTTTGTTGAAGTTACAAATGTCAAATAGAGACTATCAATCGGGATCAGATCCGATCAGGAGAAGTTCGATTGCACCCGCAGAATGGTGTTGTATCGGTATCGGTAATTTATCTTAAGTGCCTGATGAGAAAAAAAACTAAAATATTCGTGACTGAGTCACTGCTATATTATTTGCCAATATTTTTACGAAATAACTACTCCACTGTAATAAATGCCATTAGCGAAGTGTTTAACTTTTAAGTTCTCTTTCTTAAGACTTAGGAGTCTCATTGATCGCTCCAGTGTCCCCCTTAACTTTTCAATAAGGTCACCGTTTTAGAAGATATGCCTTCAACTTCGGCGTATGATTTCATAAGAGCTAACTGTTCTTCGACGAGGATGTTAAGGAATTTTCCCATAGATATTCTTTAGCTTTTAATTTAATGCAGGTATGTACATAAATATTTATCTCATAGTAATATTAAGATAAAACTTCAGTTTGTTGAATTAAATAAAATTTACATTTGATAAGATAAAATTTATTTTCAACATTATCTAAAAACGCTATTCATAACAACACGTAATACTGTATTCATAATAAAAAATAAAATAAATCTTAAGATTGATTTGCAACATATATATTTTTTTGATGTAAATGATTAATCAACCTCGAAATAAAAATTTTTTATTAAAGCCTGAAATAAAGCGGTATGATGTACATATGCATAATGTACAAAGAACATATAAAACCTCTTTAATAACACAAACAAAACATCATGTATTCGTGTTATTGCAGTAATAGCCACGATTCTCCTTAATTTAACTTGTTTAAAGAAAGTCCGGAGTTTATTGGCCCTCAGAGAATGTCTCTTGATACTATTTACAAAACAAAGTTAGTTTGTAATTGGCGCTATACTTATCAACTTTTTTAATTATATTTTAAAAGCAGAGTTCGTACGAGCTAAATAAACATGCATTTTCAATATTCCTCACCCTTTCTAGTTGTTCATAATGCATAATAATAACCTTCTCATTAATTCTTATTATAACCTATAACGAAGTCAGAAAATTAACAAAATACTCACCATAATTAACATTTGGCTGCACGCTTGGTATTTGTAGATATTCTACAAAGTTTTTTATAGAAAGATTATTTTTTAAGTCGACTGCCATATCTATTTTTAAGGTAGTATAAAACAGGTGATTCTGTATCTGTATGCCTCTCACAACTCACAGTGCGAGACTGCGACTTGTCACTCAAAATGCGTTTACTATGATAACTCGCTTCAATACAAATAGTTGATAAATAGAACGCTCATGTACTTAAAATAATAATACCTTATGATGTGTTAAAGTTGTAAATAATAGTGTAATCAATTATCACCACTGTATTAACACAATATTAACATTTATTCCAATCTTAAGTAATTACTTGGTGAATCAATTTAACTAATTCTTCTAAGAGCTAATATTGTAATCAACACAATAATTCTATAAATAATCTTGGGTGAAGAAGAAAGAAAACATTCATTGCAAGCGATAGGAGCAATATATTTTTTTTTAATATTTGGTAATTTTATTAAGTATTTTTCTGAGACTACGTAAAGGAGTAACAAAATTTCCCTTTTTATATTTCTGGTAGTACTCACCAATATTACTTCCTCAATTAGAAGTTTATATTTTATTCCTTTTTATCAAAAACCTTTTCAATACTTTTCGTCTTAAATAACACTTTTAATTTTTTATGCTCTTTCGCGATTTGATATTTGAATAAAAATACATTGCTTGTTAATGAATAGATAAAAGATGCTCTTTATTTTATTTTTATTTGATAAATTACTATAAAATTGTTATTCCTTATTTAAGGATGGCACAAAATTAGATCTACGTATTTATAGATTATTATCTATTTTAGTAGTTTTGAGATATATACATTCTTTTTTATATAGACCTACCGAAATTTTATTAAATAGATAAACGGTTCACTTGATGCTAAGGTTCTACCGTGGCCCGTGAATTTCTACCCCACAAGATGTGTTGCTATCTTTGTTCGTGTACCTACAACGGAAGTGTCTATACGACTTGCATTGCCACACATGATCTATTCCCTAAGGAAACCTCGAGAGAGAGATCATTCTACATTCCTCAAAAAAAGATCTGCAAAGTAGGTATATAGGGATAATCCTATAAACCTACTTTACACCCTACCTACATACCCTATATACCATGAAAATGGATCGATGGTGGAATAAATGCATTCCTTTAAAATGAAGCGCAATGTTTGAGGATTAGGCCACTACGTCCCATAATTCTTAACGATTATGTTTCTTACGTTACTTAAATTATTTACAAAATAACGTCTACCTCCATCAGAACAATGTCAAGGCACGTGAAATATGCTCCAAAGTGCACCAACTCTTTAAGTACTTGGAAAAACCCAGTCAAACCTTAACTTAAGATAAAAGAGAAACTAAAGAGGAGTTTTGGGTGCACTCCCGGGAGAGTTTGAAGGTACCTTGCGCCCAGGATACGGTGTTAAGTCTTCTAGTTAAAGTACTATGACTTTTGTTTTCTAAATGGTTTTAAAACTACTTCTATATATCACCTCTGAGGTCCCTAGATGGAGAAAGTATAATACTACACTCGCAAGTTCTTATATTCACAAATGTGTTCTGCTAAAAATCAAAAATCATTAATCATCTATTAATTATGATCTAACAAATGGTAAAAATACAATATTAATAGGTACCAGAAATAAGTTTGTTACTCGAAGTTACTCTTCACGATTCTGAATAAAAATATGAGTATAAATTTTTAACTACATAATCACTTAACTTATTTTACTACTTTTAAATGAGTATAAGCGAAAACCTTAGATATCATTATATGTGTATATTACAACTACAGTTAATGCCCTATAAATGAGGTGGTTTAAAAACGTATTTAGTATGCTTAAATGTTTATAATGTGTTTCATATAAACGTAGCAGTTTTTATGTTCCATACAAACTGTTTCTATCATTCGCATTTTAAGAAAAAGGTCACTAAGTATGCAATGATAACCAGTGACTATGCTATTTTAGGGATTTTAAAAAGTCTTAAGTGAATTTTAGCAAATCATAACAACTCCACTATTATAAAGGTAATGAAGTGAGTTGTTTTGAATTTCAGTATCGTAATGAGCTGTTCTTAGGATAAAAAACTAGTTTCGGAATATTGTTTCAAGTTAATAATGTTGGAATAATTTACATAGCCAGTTTACAAAGGAAGGCCAGGGAGATTTATAGATTATGACGATAAGTTACTATGGTTATAAAAGTGAGGTAACTAAGTAGTTTTGTTAACCAGCAAAATAATCTTACCCTAAACTGAACTAAACTGGAAAATTCACCATGAAAAAGGAACAGAAAGTTCTTATACTACCTTTTGGTTTTGTTATAAAATAATGGGATAAGCATAAAATCGGTGATCAAATTTCTAGCATTCTAGCTTCTATATAGTGAGTTGCGTAGACAACAGATTTTATAAAGACTTTTTAAATGAAAGAAGATGTGTTTAAATTTTTTTTTATATATTTATTCTGAGAGCAGCAACATTAGGAGCAGTCTTACCTGTTATTAGGTACTTTATGGAACAGTAAGTGGGATTTAGTGTCTATTTGCTTTCTTAATTAGGTTCTTTAAGGGGGTGGAGAAATTGAAAGGATCTCCATTTGCTGCCCAAAGAGTTATATAGAGACTTACATTACATTACTTAGTAATAGTTGTGTTATTCTATTCTTTTTGAATAACAAATATTTTTAATTTGTATACAATTCAAAAAAGTTTTCAAATTATTAATAGGACAACAAAGTTACAAATACTTGTTTTTAAAATATTAAAATATAGCTAAGAAGTTCTGCAGTGTCTAATAGGTTCTAAATGCAACGATACTACTCTAAAATATATTTTTAAAGAATATATAACCTTTATATTTTATTATTAGTGCTAAGATTGTTATACTTTAGTTACTTTATTTTTATTTGTGGCAATTAGCACTACAAATAAAATATACTCAGAAGACAGATTCTGCGTACTGTACGTTGACATTGACGTTTTCAAATAATAGTGGCTCTTAAGTCTCAAAATAATTACTTTGTAGGTTATATTAGTTAAGAGAACATAATAATTATTGCAAAACACAAGGAAGATTCTTATTTAAGATGAGTTCAGCGTTGATAAACGCTATTAAAAGGCTAAACATATCTGTCCTTCCTCAAATACGTTTCTGCTCATCAACAGCTAACCAAAGTTCCGCTATAAATGTTATTAATAATGAATTCTCTGTGACTAAGAAAGAATGGAAGTTTCCACCATCGTATACAAAACCACGTGAAGTTTGGATCGAAAATCTGGATACAATTGAAGAAAAAAAAGTAGGTTTATTTGAGCTCCATCCCTTGGTGTACGCTGCAGCCCCCCGTATAGATATAATCCATAAAAATGTTACTTGGCAAAAAAAGTATCGCTGGGTGTCATGGGCCCACACTAAAACGCGGGCTGAAGTTAGGGGTGGAGGTAAAAAACCATGGCCCCAAAAAGGTTTGGGTCGAGCCCGACATGGCTCAATAAGGTCACCATTATGGCGTGGAGGTGGTGTGGCGCATGGACCACGTTCTGGAAAAACTCACTTTTATATGTTAGACATATATTCAAGACTCCATGGTCTGACTTCAACATTATCGGCAAAGTTTGCACAGGACGATCTCCATGTTGTGAGAGATTTAGAACTACCTACCGATGAATCGGAATACCTCATTGAACTCATTGAGAAAAGAAATTGGGGTCCTTCTGTGTTGCTTGTTGATGAGTATGTCTTAAGATTACTAAATAATATTGTTTTAAAATGTATTCTTGATTAACTTACATATGTTTTATTTTTCAGCACTGACTATGCTCCACGGAATATAACAGTTGCAACTGACAGTTTACAATATGTAAACATCATGCCTGTATATGGCCTCAATGTTTATTCTATGCTAAAGCATGATACTCTCATTTTAACTCAGGCTGCCGCAGAAAAAATTGAAGAGAGAATTCTACATCACTTAAATTCTACTAAAGTTGTTAGCAAATTTAAATTAAGTCAAGTTTAATATAAAAAGAAACATTATGAAATAAAATAGATGTCAGTAATAAAACCATTGTGTTATTTGTATGTATATATTTAACAAATTAAGGCATTTAGATGATAGGAAATGCAATTCATCGAGTCATGCAGTGTTTTGTTTCTTATGTACATTGGGATGTGGATCGGCAACCTGCAAATATTTTGATAAATATTATCAATTTTATCATATAACAATAAAATTAAGAGGTATTTAGTAGTATTTAATGTATAATTTTGTTTAATATAAAACTTAAGAAAATAATAATACTTTGTTCGAAGTGTGGGATGCTGTATTTCCGACCATTTTTTGTCTAATACTCCATCTTAGGTCCGACCAGTTATTCTCTCCGGGTACATTTGACTTGTATTTAGCCCACAGTGATGTGTAATAGTGGTAGAGAGAAACAGGGTCATTCTTTTTCTTTATAGGCTGGATAGGAACTTTGATTACTGAAAGGAAATAAGAGCATTTAATATACAATATTTTACAATTTCTTGTATCAAGTATATATTGATAAACAAAAAGTTTTCATGTACCTGTCATGATTTTAAAAAGAAATTTTAATTTCTTCAAAAAAAAATTATCTCACTTTGAAAGAATTTCAAGGAATTAAAACTTAAATTACTTAAAAAAAATTCAATTACTTACAGTTATTGCTGAGAGTTTTCTTTGTCATATTTTTAATGGATTCTGTAGATTTTTTTTTGATATGAACACAGGAACAAGCCCTTCTTTGGGGTTTATCGTCAACTTCGGTTTTACCTAAGGCAGGTGCAGAACTAATTACTCTAACTGGAGGTAGCTTGCGTAGTTTAAATCCATTACATTCTCTTGTACAAATAATTTTTTCATCATTTCCCTTGGATCGAATTCTTGAGGAGAATGTACTAGCGCTATGTAATCGTTCAGGCCCAATCAACTCGGGTTGTTTATATTTATCATCATTGTCTCCGATTTTACGTTGAAGATCGTATTTTATTAGTTTTTTCAGGTCTAAAACGATATAAATTAGAAATTAAACCATCATCAAAATACGTACTAATTACATACCAATTATAATTATCAGAATATAATATACATACCAGTTATAAAAAATTTAAGAGCCTCTCCACTTATATTTTTAATACCAAGGTTGTTTAAATATCTTAGAATTTCTCTAGCATCTAATTGTGAAGTTATATCACAATAGTCAATTTTGGCGGGCTCCATATTAAAAAAAAAACAAATATTCGATTTTTATGATTTCTTGATAATCTTTATTTTATAAATGTAATCGTAACGGATTCACGTCAAACAATTTGAAATTTGACGGCACTTAGATGTACTGACGTTTGTTGTCGCTTAATGACATATGAATGTTGCTTGCCTGTTAAAAAAAACATATTATCTTATTATTTTTTAGGGTCAGAAAAAAAAGAGTAAATTGTTTTTTTGTATCTTCTTGTTAAAACCGAATAAAGATAAACGAGATCTTAAGGGCACACATGTCGAACTTTTTACACTAAAACTTTATGTTGGACAATGTTAACATAAAAAAATGCTTGTTATATAAAAATAATTTTCTATTATTCTGGGCCATCTACATAAGTATATGAGTTATTATGGGGCATATATATAATTTTATGAGTCTGTTTAAATTTTAGCCACGGGTCCTCATATCTATGATACAGATAATATGACAGTGGTGGCCTAGTTGTTAAAATCCCCGCCTCTCATGTATGAGGGCGCGGGTTTGATCCTGGCAAGTACCAATGTGATTTTTCCGAGTCATATATACTTTCTTCGCGTATTTGGACACCACTGATTAATGCATTCCCAAAGAGGGTTGATTTCAGGCAAGCGGCCGGTCGTAAAAACAATTAGCCTAAACTATTCACAACATGTAAGGCGGACCCTGGCTTAAGCCAGGAAATTGCCAGGTAGAAGAAGAAAAGATAATATGACAGTCCCTCGTAATTGGTGAATATGTTATGAATACACTTTTTATTTTAAATTGTATTAAACTTATTTTCAAAAGCGAATTAAATCCAAGAACACTATTTTATTTCAATGTTATTTTTTTTTAATATGTATGAAAATCTTAGAAACTAATTTTGCTTTTTAAGGGCCATTTTTAGAGCAGCTCTAAATAGCACGAACGTTTTTGTATTACTAATACGATGCTTTTATTTTGCGCCAAAACTTTACATTTGGATAGTTTCTATCTTTAACTTGTGTTTTAATTTAAGTTTCAAGGAGATAACGTCATCAGTTGAATTGACATACTAAATTAAGAAGAATCTACCAATAATTTCTATGCATAAAACGACTTATTGAAATTTAATCTCTACTAATTACTAAAATGCGAAAGTAACTCTGTCTGTCTGTCTGTCTGTCTGTCTGCTACGCTTTCAATCCTAAACCACTGAACTAGTTTTAATGAAATTCGGTACAGAGCTAGAGTTGACCTTGAGAAAGAACATAGTATAGTCTTTATCCCAGACTTTTGAAAGGTTCTCTTGGAAACGCGACATAACCGAACTCCATGCGGGCGAAGCTGCGGGCGGAAAGGTAGTATAAATATAACGATCGGAACAATACCATATATATTCGTTGGAATCTGTTAATTCTCTCTCTTAATTAGAAAAAAAGGTTTTGACGCACAGTCAACAATATTAATGAAATGACATACGTACAACATCACAAATATGAGAGGTGTTTGCTTTTACAAAACATATTTAAGGTTTTATTTTCAGCTCAAAATCTATAGTACAGGAAGAAGCAACTGAAGTTCTTATAAAATGACCAGACATGGTAGATTTGCGGACAAACTCTTTTTGTGCAGTGAAGTCTATTTTTGAGGTGGCCTTCTCAACTTCTCTGAGATTTATGAATAACTTGAATAACCAGATAAAACGCCAAAATATGCGAACAGAGTTATGCCGAATTACTGACAAAAATTTTAATTCGCGTTAGTTTTGAGAGAGGCAAGTGTACTCGTCATCAGCCTATCAGCGCCCACTGCTGAGCAAAGGCCTTCTTCTCACATGGAGAAGGTTTGAGCATTAATCACCACGCTTGCTCAAGACGGGTTGGTGATTTTAAACTTATAATTGTGAAACTATAAGTCCAGGTTTCCTCATGATTAGGGCCCGGATTAATATGTAATAACACATTTTTTATTTTCCGCGATTTTCGGTCTAGAATGTGTTTTCTACATGGATTGTCATATTTAGATTGTAAAAAACCAACTTTTATTTTCCATATATTCCATATTTTACCATATTTCAAAGTTAAGTCTATATTTTACAAGAAAATGTCACAATCATCCATATTTTCACAAAAATACATAAAATTTACGTTCCCGCCACTAATGTTTTGGATAAAAATAAAGGATTTATACGCTAAAAAAATTAACAAAATTCTGAGAGTGAGTTTCGAGGGCTGTAGACATGGCTTACACAATTACTGAATTAAGCATGTTTAAGTATGCACCCATCACGTCATGTGACGTGGAGAGATCATTCAGCAGATATAAGGCTATATTTCAAACAAATGGTCAGTTTTCATTTTGAGAATTTAAAGAAGCACGTCATTGTGTATTGCAACCAATTTGATAAGGCTAGTGTAATGGAAGTTGAATAAAACTGTAATTTTTTGTTGAAATAAATATTTCGCTAGTTATTTCATCGTTTTTTAAATGTAACTTAACATGTATGTCACAAGTGACCCTTTTCTTATAGTAAAACAATGTTTAATTATGAAAGTATTTTATTTTATACTCCATATTTTTTCCATATTTTTGATTTTTTCGTCCATATTTTATGTACATATTTTAAATTTTTTAATACATATTTATCCGGGCCCTACTCATGATGTTTTCCTTCACCGTATGTCAGTGGTGTCTAAATACTCTCAGAAAGTACATACCTATGACTCCGAAAAATCACATTGGTACTTGCCAGGTTTGAACCCGCGCCCTCAGCAACGAGAGACGGACCCTTTGACCACTAGGCCACCACTGACTAATATGTGTGACAAGTGTACTCAAACATCAAAAAGTATAAAGTCTAATATAACCAGTTTGATTTCATCTTTGCGTTTTACAGAAAAACTTCATAGAAATAATATTTACACTATGTACATACTTCATTGGTGAAGACTTTATTACATTGAGCGTGTAGTAATAAATTCATGTATCTTTAGGAGATAACGATTTTCCCGGGGAACGAGTCCGGACCGGGATCGGGTGGAAGGTTGGCGGCGCTCCGCACTCACCTTGCTATTTCACCGGTGGAGGCGGAAGCTCTCTGAGCCAGTGGCTGGGTTGCGAACCGTGGAGGCTATTCGCCCGCTCCTCAAAGAGTGGGTGGACCGCCGACATGGTTCCTTGACCTTCCGGCTGGTCCAGATCCTCTTGGGGCATGGTTGCTTTGGGAGGTATCTGTGCCACATAGTCGGAAGAGAGCCGACCGCGGCGTGTCACCATTGCAGTTGCATGGATGACACCCCCGATCACAACTTGGCGGAGTGCCCTGCGTGGGCGATAGGGCGTCGCCAGCTCACCACGGTGGTTGACGCAGATCTCTCGTTGCCGGCAGTGGTTCAGGCCATGGTCGGTAGCGAGAGTGCCTGGGAGGCGGTGGTCCGGTTCAGCGAGTGCGTCATCTCGCGGAAAGAGGCCGTTGAACGAACGCGGGAAGATGACCCCTCCTCGGCGCCCCTGCGTCGACGAAGGCTGGGTAGAAGGCAGCGGGCCTACGCTCGCCAAATGCCTCCCCAGTGAGAGGAGCCTCCGGGCGTTGGTGGGGAAACGGCGTCCGGGCAACATAGGCTGGAGTGAGAGTGGCGTGTTTGGCGTTCCCGGCACGCTGCTCTGGAGTCGGAGGGGAAGTGTGGTGAAGCCACTGTGACCCCTGCCGAAGATGGAGTCCATGGGACTCGTGCGTAGTGAGCGGAAGTATGGCTTGCCGTTCCCGCTCACTAGCCTACGCACAGCGCAGAGA